CCCAAGAGTTGGCGGTGGGTGGTGATGGCTAGCTGCCTTCCCTCTAGTCTTACACTGCTAGATTAGGGACGGCTAGCGCAGATAGCCCTCGTGTAGCTTTGCGCGAAATTCAAAACAAACAAACAAACTTTTTAGCCGCGGCATAGCGACTCACAGAACGGCTTTGAGTATTTTTTTTTTCTCAAGCACAAACTTTAGTTCATAGATCCTTCATCTCTTGACCGATTTGACATCTAATTACACTTTTGGACTAAGAAGGTCGGTCAAACCCTTCCGATTGATGTATTTGACGTCGCCCAAAATATCATAGATTCATTTACGCTAATCCTGTCTAAAAGAATTTCAATTTGAGGGTGGGGGTGGTAGAGATCCTGTTTAGTAATAAAATAGAATCGGGTATACGCACGCCCCACACTTGGTATAGCTGATAAAAAGAAAAAAAGTCTCATAGATTAATTTACTCTAATCCGTTCTAAAAGAATTTCAAGTTCCGCGGCTATTGAGGATTCCCTCTTGTTTTCAGCTTCAGTTCTTTAATTGATTGTTTGCTTTTAGCGCAAAGCTACACAATGGACTATCTGTGCTCTGTCCAGCGCGGGAATTTAACTCTGGATTTTTTCGTTGTAAGTCCGTAAATTTACCGCTGATCCACCGGAGGGGTACAATTATAAAGAAACAGTTTTAATGTTTTTCTTACTATCTTTGCTTTCGGTTTTCGAGTGAAAAAAATCGAACTTTTTGAAGTTGGTTAGTTCTTCCTAATTTTTTTGTTTATTATTAAGATCTCTTAATTATTTCGTTCTTCAAGGCATGGATACTTTCGTTTAAATTTAATTGAAATTTTAAAACTAGCTCCTTAACATAGTAAGGCAAAATATTTACCTTAATATTCTTTTTTTTTCTATATTGTAAAATAAAAATGTAAATAATTGCTCGGTTAAATTTTTTTTATTTAAAAATCAAATCAGTACGTGTATTTTTGTTTTAAAATTATGAAAATAGAATGAGAATTATGAGATTGCTTAAATTTTAAGATTATGTCTGACAGTCATGCAACTTGGGGATAGGATTTTACCTGAGTGGAACCAGATTTATGAATTGCTATTTAAGAAAATCAGCAGTTAGATTAAAAACAAAATCTTTTCGACAAAGCTATTTTCTTACATACGTTAATTTATAATTTCTGTTTACAGGTCATGTAATGAAAGCTCGACTGGCACTGATGGCTGTGATTCCATGTGTTGTGGGCGTGGATTCAGCACCGAAACCGTTGTAAAACTAGAACACTGTCATTGTAAATATTATTGGTGTTGTTATGTGAAGTGCAAAACTTGTCGTAGTTGGGTTCAAAAGCAAAGGTGTCATTGAGAGACGCGGTATTCCATAACGTGCACAAATTATTATTCTCAAACACCACAAGTGACTCTTAAAACTGTATAAGAACGGTTGCACCATGGACTGCAGGAGCTGGATTTAACACAAGTATCATTTGATATTTTAATTGAACGACTACAACACTGACTGAGAGATGTCGCTTCAAAACCACACGTGTGTGTTAGTGCGATATTAAAAGATCTGGACTTTCAACTGTAGAGTATGGAATCAACACTTCAAGTCTCATTAGCTAATATATTTAAACTACACCAAAGACTGCAGAATCTGACTTCAAAATTACGCGTGTCTCTTTGTACTATACTTAAACTATTGCATTATCGATTACACGGCCTGGCTTGAAAACAACAATGTTGTTAAGCAATATTTTCGAAGGTTTATAACATTGACTGTAGGAACTGGCTGAAAAAACACATGTGTTTCTTGGTATTGTATTTAAACGATTGCACCATCAACTACAGGACTTGGCCTTTACACCTCAAGTACCATTAGGTAATATATCCCAACTATTATAGCATCGAGAAGAGGGCCTGGTTTCAACGCCACAACTGTCTCTTGGTAATACATTTAAACAATTACAACAACTACAGGATCTAGCTTCAACACCAGAAACGCCATCAGGTCGTGTATTCAAACGATTACGTCAATAAGTACAAAACCTAGTTTCAAAACTCATGCAATACAAAGTAAAGTATACGACCTGATTTTAACATCACCATTGCCATTTAAAAATGTACTTGAACAACACCTGAACATTAAATGCAGTATCCAGCTTCAACATCAACGGTGTCAGTAGGTAATATTGGGACAAATACAACGTCAAGAATAGGGCCCGGTTTTAATTAAGTAGGCGTCACAAGATGGCGTATTCGAAAGACTGTAAGATAATTTGCAGAATTTGGATTCAACATCACAGATCTCGCAGTCTAATATATTCGAAACACAAAAGTCAAACAGAGATCCTCAGGAGTTCTGTTGAACACCAGTTTACTGACAAAGAAGGCACTTAGCTATTCAATTGACTGAAGCTGAACAACCACCGCAAAGAAAATATATAATATAACAGCTGTGTAACGCATTATCTTGGAAATACATATATATACATAAACGACATAATATATTATTTAAGGTATGAAGGTCCGAGACTGACATAGTGTTGCTTAACCAGCTTCAGTTTTATCATGCATAAACCTCCTTTAGCCTCAGCCTGCTGTGCCACCAAAACCTATCCTACTTGGCAAAGTAATATTTCCTGCCCATGTTCAATAAACAAGAAACGAAAGTAAACGAATTTTTTCACTTGGACAATCTACCCAATGGGAATTAAGGTCTTCTTTACGTCATTGCATGCGCATCATGGTCAAATGGGTAGAACTGAATAGAGTGAAATTTGGTAGTACAATGCCTAAACATCGACATTGCTAACTAAAATGTTTTTAAAACTTATGACAGATGAAGTAACTTTCAGTTAGATTGTGTCTGCGCTTATATGTTTTCATCAGATAAAAAAAAAAGAGTTTACTTTGTTTTTTTGCAGAATAGAATGTGAGTTTTTAACAGTTTGCACGTTAATAAGGCAAAATAATTAAATTAAAAGAATTAACTAAATCATACTAACATTATCTTCGGTTTGGTTGTTGTTAAGTACAAAGCTACACAATGGGCTGTCTGTACTCTACCAACAACGGGTATCGAAACCCGAATTTTAGCGTCGTAAGCCTGCAGACTTACCGCTGAGGCACTGGGATGCACTAATATTAGGATTCCATATTTCGCCATAGAATTAAAGATAAAGCTACTCAGAAGTTTTAATACAAACAAAGTTATAAGTGTGAAAAAATATAACGTTATTTAATATTATTAGTTTGTGGAAGAAGAAACTACTTATTAATTAAAATATAATGGTACAGTAATTGTGAAATTTTTCTTATTTTTTTTAAACAATGTTTTTTTAGCTTCCTGTATATAAATGTTTAGGTTTTGTTTCATTATTATCTTATGAACTAAAATCGAAATTATGAAAAAATTATGAATAATAATAGAACAGAGGAAGTTATAACAGTTTTTACTTTTTGCTACGACATGGCCAAGTGGTTAGGGCGCTCGACTCGCAATCTGAAGGTCGCGGGTTCGAATCCCCGTCACACCAAACATGTTCGCCCTTTTAGCCGTGGGAGGGTGCGTTATAATGTGACGGTCAATCCCACTATTCGTTGGTAAAAGAGTAGCCCAAGAGTTGGCGGTGGGTGGTGATGACTAGCTGCCTTACCTCTAGTCTTTCACTGCTAAATTAGGGACGACTAACGCAGATAGCCCTCGTGTAGTTTGCGTGAAATTCAAAACAACAAACTTTCTGCTGCAGTATTTTTGTTTTCGCATTTTATATTATGTATTTATTAGATTCTCTTAATTTCAAAAATATAGATGTAAAGAGAAAAAATTTGATCAGAGCATGAAATGCCAGAAAGACATTTAAATCTTTCTTCCTCAAAAGCTGAAAACATTAATGATATAAACATGTTTAAAATATTGGGATTTATTACTGAAACATATTTTATAATATAAGAATAGAAAACAAACTCTATTTAAGACGTTTAATTATTAATCATCGAGTAATTAATCTTAATGCATATGTTGACTGTGCATATGTTGACTGTTACACATATGATAAAATTTACTTATTTCATAAAGACATTTTATTTTTTCTTTAATTAAAAATGATTGATTTTGTTAGTATACATGTATAGACTTTTATATTTAAAAATCCTAAGTCTATTTGAATATTATCAGCAACAAAGAAAAAATCAAGAACAACAAAAACGTTACTATCAACTTCTTTGAAAATTTTAACTTGTTACAAGGTTTGATAATTTTCTTTTGGTTTTTATATTTATATATTTTTTACTGTACTGTATAATATTTTACTTCTCAATATACATCCAAGCATTATTAAAGAAACCCAATAATTTCTTGGATTAGGAATTTTTCTTCATCAGGAGTGATATGGGTATTCAGAAAAACATATGTAATAAATATAATGAAAAAACATGAAAACACGTGTTCTTAATAAACACAAAAACAACAACAGATAAACAAAGAGAAAGAAAAACGGATATTCTGATTGTTTGTGATTGAAACATGATGTTAATCAGTATATAAACGGTTCAAATTCTTCTAGAACTCTGTTGTAGTATTTAACCTAGTAAAATATTTTTCGATATATTTTCTGGAATTCAATTGTAGTTTTGCTTGATTTGAAGACTTTTGCTCTACAATAGGTAAGATAAGGGGGAATACATGTGATGACACGTAAAACCAGAGGGAGATACTTGTGATCACGTAATTCTTTAACGAAATTTTGTTTCTTATGAATATTAAAAGATCTGATTAGGTTTAGAATTAAAATAGGACAAACCGAACGAACAAAACTAATACTAATTTTTATTTGTTTTCAACTTCACTTTCAAACACGTAATGGAAAGTATTTTATATGGAGTATTTTTTAACTTCTTCGTCGAAACTGTGTTATAAACATTCTTTGCTAATGGTATGTTTATTCTTGCCACTGGATAAGAGATGAGCAGTTTTGAATTGTCTTTTAGCCCAACTAATTTTAGTAAGAAATTTTGTTGAATTACTTGTACTTGTGATTTGGTTAATTTATATGCAATATCACATTTATTGGTTCTGCTACTTTTCAAAATACGAAAAAGAAAAGAATCCGTATTGCACAAAAATAAGAATTTAACTCGAAAACTACTTGAACTAAATTAATACAGTACTTACAAAATGCAACTATTACTTTGCAACAATGCCATTCAGGACATTCCGCGTATATTGTGCCTTTGATATTGGTAAGAGAAAAAGTATAATCAACTTAGACACTGAGCAATTAATTCACAATAAACAAGTTTCTAAAACTGCTTCTCTTTTGGTAGGTAAATTATTACTTTATTAACTGATATTTTACACGATTGAAAATATAGGTTTAAGCTATTGATGAACTAAAGGTTTTATATGCTGATGTTAAAATTATCTCGAACTACCACTGTATAAAAACACAAACATAAAATTGCGTCAAACGAAGAAAAATCATTATTGTACAAGAAATAGAACCTATGTATGATTAATTAAGAAATAATGTAATTTTATTAAACGAACAAACATGAAACAAAAGGTAAAAATATTACGATTAGTATTTAGTGAATCTACCCTTTGCAATATTTATGGCAGAAACACGGTTTCACATCTTATTTACATGATCTGAAATCTGGGTTTCACCCCACTCCTGGCAAGAAACTTGGTTGAAGATGTCCTTCAAATTTGTTTGTTTGGGACGCTTTTTCAGGGAGATATCTGTCCACCGGAGGTATCAAAGCCCGATTTTTAGCGTTATAAGCTCATTACTTACCGCTAAGACAGGGAGGATGGGGGTGTTCTTTATTGAAAATGAAATATTCTAAGAGGCTTTAAGTATTGTACATTACTATAACATAAAATGAGTGTTTAAAGACCCTTCGTTACTAAACATACCATTATTTAAAGAAAGAAAACGAAAATAATAACCAGAAAAACTACCCGGTACTTTGATATTGAAACTAAGTTATAAAAATCATGGTACCATATATCTAATTCAAGCACGAAAATGGGAAAATCTTAAAATTTAACTTATTTTTTTCTCCCTTGGAAAGTTAATATTATTTTTATTTTAGTAATTTTATCGAAAAACAAACAAATAAACCTTTAAGGGTAATTTATCAAAAAATAGCGAAAAACCTAAAATCTTCCAGGTTAATCGCTGTTTGTTATGAAATATAAAGGGCTATCTGTGCTCTGCCCACCACAGGTATCGAAACCTGGTTTCAAGAGGTATAAGCCCACAGACATACCACTGGGGGCTTCATGTTAGTAGAAGTGCTCGTTGAAACAGGTTTTTGGTGTGTCTGAAAATAAAATTATTATACAATGCCACATATAACCTTAGAATGTTGTTCTGAAACATAAAAATATCTTATCGGCATATTGTTTAAAGATGAACTCACAAGTCTTATATCTTAACGATTTTAAATGTCAACATATTTGAGAAATTACTTAATGTTTATAAGTTTAAACCTAAACGGACTTGGAAAGCTGACTTAGACGCTGAAAGTATAGTTACTTTCAAAGCCATTCGATGTATTCTGTTTTTCTTCAAGCAAAAAAAAGTTAATAAACTAAATAGAAAAATCAAAATCAGAACCTATGTATAAGAACCTATGTTTATGTTTCGAATACTTTGAAAAAAATCTTGACGATAGTCAAGAAGAGTTATTGAAAGTTGTTTTATCAGCAGGTGCTCCCATGGTATCTTCTAGCGCCAGGAAGGTAGAAAAGAGATAAACGTTATTTGTCTTGTGTTTTTCGTCCAAAGTCGATTCAAGATTGATTCTCACAAGTCTGATTGTAATTGAAGAACTCAAAGTTTACGTATCTGGTAAGAATTATTGCACTTCATTCGAATATTAAATTGTAAATAAAAAACAAAAGTTAATCATGCTGCCATCTAGTGGTATGTTACTGACGTGGGTTTGTTATTTTGAAAACGCTAAGTGAATTTATACCTACTTTTAGAACACAATTTTTTACTTCATTAAATCATATACATCACTGTATTGAGTATGTGTAGAAATTATAATTTGTTATATAACTCCGCATTTAATATTTATGTACTTTTACAATTAGGTTTTGTGTCGGTCCTTGTTTGTTTTGCTTTTATTTGTTTAATTTCGCGCAAAGCTACTCGAGAACTGTCCGCGCTAGCTGTCCTAAAATTAGCAGTGATAGACTAGAGAGGAAAGTTAGTCTACACCACCCACCACCAACGTTTGGGCTACTCTTTTGCCAACGAATAGTAGGACTGTCTATCACATTATAACTCCCCAATGGCTGAAAGTGTGAACATGAGTTATGTCTTATATGATATGCATAATATATCAAAGTCTATTCTGTATGACTTCAATATGTTATGTGTATCATATATGACGTCACTCAGGAGATAAAGGCATCATTCTGTAAACTGGGCAGCGTATTATTAATCAAAGGTTAAAAATAAGTGAGTTTTTGTACAGATATTTGTAACACATTTTATAATGGAAAAGAGGTGATTCAAATTTGATGATATAGTTCAAGACCATAGCGAATGTAAATAACTTCTGTTATAATTGAAACAATATAAAGAACGATCGGTATGTCTTGAAAGCGTTTGATGTTTTGAGGAAAACAAGTTTTACTCTTTCTCGTTAAGCTTGAGAGCTTGTAAAGCTTAAATCTGAAGTTTAATCCCAACTGTGATAGGCCATTATGCAGCCTTGTGCTTAACATCAAATACATTTTCCTTAAAGAACGGAC